TTCCCTACAGATCATCATACTCAAGCATGGCTTCTCTGCCTCTGCATGGCTCTTTCAACAGGTCACTTGGTATTCAGGTGCATTCCATGATTCACAAGCCTTCTTCTTATGGCCATTTTCCCAACGTCATGATGATGAATAGTACTAGTTCCTCTCAGCTTTATGGACATAATGGCTGGCAAAGGCTGCCTATTGATCAGCAGCCAGCAATCGGGAGGAATTTCCACGCTGGAGAGGCCGGCGGAGGGCTCTCATCCTCCTCCTCCTCCTCCGGCGGTGGAGGCCCCGCCAGGTTCGATGCTGTTCGGAGATTTTCTCCGGAGGAAATTGGAGGGTTGTGGTGGAATAGTGGCCATCTGAAGACTAAGCAAGATGAGTTGCAGAAACTTGACTTGTCTCTCAAGCTCTAAGAAATCACTATCTTTTGTTTTTCTTTCTTTCTTTCTTTTTAATTTTGAATTTCTCTTGTTGTTAATTTTTTTTTCTTTTTTTTTTCTTTTTCAAATTGAGTGTCATTTTTTGTTGAGTAGATCCTCTTGTTTACTTATGTAATTAGATGCAACTTTTGTAAATGCTTGGAATATTTTGTTCTGAAATTCTCAACTTTGAAGCACTTGAATTTCCAAATGTCATTTAACTTTGTTTTTGTGAACTTGGGACTTTTAACTTGGAACAAAGCAAAGCACTTGAATTTGCTTTTTTCTATGATCTCACTTCAATTTAGGTTTGACGGTTACAAGGAAAGCAAATCTCCATACGTTAAAACTTAAAACAGCCTAGCTTCATTAAGTCTCGGAGGTTTAATTGTTCCTTAATTGCCTTTTAATTAGCAGTTTATTTTTGGATAATATGCCCAAGTTAAATTGAATTAAAAAAAAAAAAAAAAGAGGAATCCGAGTGATTGATGAAATTCAGATTGCAACAGTCATCTTGGATGTAGTAGTCAAATAATATTGATGCAGCTGTTATTCATTTCACCGATTCGAGTTTTCAGTTTTAAATTTCTATGACACCAAAATATAGCATTTCTCAAAAATTTTAAATATAACTTTAACAGAAAACTTTATTCGTAAAAATTTTAATATACAAAATGACTTGGAACGGTCGTGCACGATCATTGTTTACGCTAGGCGATTTAGTAGCTAGGTCACTCGATATAAAGGTTTTTGCTAATTTCACCTCCTATATGCCATATACTAGTAATCCTGATGAAAGTTAATCATCGGCCCAAACAGTAAAAACAAAAGAAGAACAAATTGGTGGTGGTAATAATTGTAGATGACAATTTAGTTCACCAGATATCAAACATGGGACTCCCTGATTAAGGTCATGTATCCTATAATTATATAGTGACATGGGGGCACAAAACGTGCACAAAATTGGATGCTTGTAATCGTCATTTCTCATAATTAATTGACGTGGTCGCCCACAAAATGTAATACAACTTGGACGGTTGTGATTGTCAAGAGACAACATCTATGACCCACCAGCAGTTAAAGTAATAGACCATCCCTTCCGATGTATTGAAGATTCAAAAGAGGTAGGTGTAGCAAACCCATGTGAGAACAGGGCAAAATAATGACCCTTTTGCTATGCCATCACATCATTTTTAATTACTCATAATATTATCCTATTATATTAATGAGTAAGCTTGATCACCTTTGATTTTTTACCAAGAAGATCTCTTGGGTGGGTCCAGATCCTTTCTGATGTTCACAAACTTAATAATGTGGAGTTTGTCATAATAATAGAACATAACTCTCCTCAAATTAAGATGTAAAGTAACTGAAAGAAGTTTAATTATGGCACTTAATTTAATCCAATTTCTAACATTAATCAAGCTAGGAAGGATTGTGATAGGGTAAACCGGCTGTCACACAAAAGTCTTGAAAATGAAATATTTGATTTTTCAAGTGTTGGATTTTCGCCACATGCTGTACATCAGTTGGGCTGTCCATTTTGTTTGTGTTACACTGCCTTATTCCTTACCATTTTTTGCCATTAAAATATTGGGGAACCATTGATTTCGCCTCTCAATTAAGGAACGGCTTTTGGAAATCTTATGTATATTATAAACTTGGAAAGAGATACATGAAAGATTTGGAGCTATCATGTTGCCGAAATTAGGTGAAAAATAAAGCATGACTTGGTCTTCCCTCACTAGTATAGTCTTTAAGGATTAAAGATGTTTTGTCGTCTTCCGGATTTATATATTGTGTCTAATCTTTTTAGATTAAGCTCTTTTGCTTATAAAAGTATATTATTTGTCCATTTCAATGGGGAAAAAATACAAAGAGATAATCAACATCAGGCACATGAGTGCGGTATAATACTACATGTAGCAGAAGACCTGTTGACAAAAAGCTCTGACTTAAAATAAACTCATCTTCACTTGTTAAAGAATAGAGTTCAAAACGCAAATTTAAGACACGTATTGATAACAAATCTAAAATTACATCTTGCACTAGTAGTGCTTCATATCCAATGACGTAATACCAATAAGTAAATTTTACACTGCGTTAAATATGAGTATGTGATAGCATTATATGCGTTCATCGGTATGCTCTATCAGCATCACTAGTGTTTAAAGATTATTATTTTACTTTCACATTATTTATGCAGAAAATTTTGTATTTGTTATAGTGATCTGATGATTAACAATTACATCCTATCAAAGTATTCTCCTGTGCATACTAATTATATTATTTAAAAAATGCTTTGTGACTCCATGTCATATATATAGCGCATAGTGTAAAGCCAACTTTACAGGGAGAACAGAGATAGGTCTTCCTCTCTTTATGCGGAGCCAAATAATTTTGCTCATATATCATAGATATACTTATATTTAAACAGTAGTAAATAATTATTGTCTTTCACATAATAAGCCTCTCACAATTTGAGAAACACATGACATGTTTTCTTCACAACTTAAACTTTTTTGCTGCGGTATTTTCTCTTAAAAAATTCAAATTTAACTTTTTGCTACAGTATTTTCTCTCATGTAAAATTCATTTTACAACTCAAATTCTCAACTCCAGCTGTGAAAAAACATACCATGAATATTGCTATTTAAGTATGAAAAGCTATTTGGAGAGATGGTGAATAAAGTGCTGAAGATGACAAAGTATGGCCTTACCAGGGGAAATAAAATGACAGTATATGACATAGAATATCCAACACTATAGGACATCAACTTTGAACTCGTGCACATTGCTGACAGACTAAGGGCCACAAAGCTCGGAATCTTATCCGTTATTTGACTGGTAACATTGTTGTCTAGCAATGAATCGTATAATCTATTTTGTTTTGTTTCATTTTTTATTTTTCCCTCTTCTGATAAGTGGAGCATATTGTGATTGAAAATTGAGTTCACTGCTTTAGCTAATGGCATTGGCAAAACCAATTGGACAAGTAAAGATTTAACGCTGGGAAATAAACATAGAAAACAAGAAAAGAAGTGGCCCGCAAAGCATCTACAGCTGTCAGATAGTTCAACATGACTCACAAAATTTTTTGAGCTACAGTGGGTGTACGAAGCCTAGTCAGTATCCTAATGTAGAGTTATTACGTGGATATATGGTATTTTCACGCATATTTTTACTTACTCTAATTTCTCAAATATTAGGTGGCACGAGTTTTGATTTTTGGAAAGGGCTGGTAAAATTTTACGCGTCATATCGAATTAAACCACATGCTCTATCACTTGTGCGGGCCCTATCAATTCCTTTGAGTTTCGGTCTTGCGTTAGTTGGGCCCCTGATCTTCGTAGACCAAGGGCGAACACTCATCGTTTACGGCATGGACTACCAGGGTATTTAATCCCGTTCGCTACCCACGAGTGTATTTGGCCTCAATTCCGAGCTTACTCCTATCAAAGAGACTGGCATTTTACTTCGTCCTCCCTTGTTTTGATCCCTTACTACTTGATACTAGGAGAATTAAGACAAATTGCTTGATTGCTTGGTCCGACAATACAGGGTCTTCAAGGAAGAGGTTAGGTGTTAGGGCTTTCTTTCTCACAGTCTAGGGACTGCCTTGCTTTTCTTAGCCCTAGCTACGCTACCGTAACCAGTTGTTAAGCTTCCCATCAGATAGTTCAGTCGAGCGGCGGAGATAGACACTTTGGATTCGGCAAGCTACTCTGCTTTCACAATTAAAATTAGAGAGCAACACAATGAGTTTAAGAGATACGAGGGGCGTAATTCTCTTCTTCGTCAATGTAAAAACCTACAGCAGTAGTTAAAAGTGAATGTAGCTCTTATATTAAAAGTGAACCATTATGAATCTTACATGCACGCTTGATTACATCTCTTTTAGTAAAGGATTAACACATCTTATCAGTGACTTTTTTTTGGCATTTCTAAAACTTGAAGCTCTTAATTGGGCAAGTGAAGGGAAGAAATCGTGGAGATATTAACCAGCAGTTCATTAATTATTGTAAAGCGAAGTAGAAATTGATGTCAATTTGTAGACGAGGGAATTAGGAACTTCATAACCAGGTCAGAAGATGGAAACAATCACGAAATGCATATTGATCTAACTTGTGTCTATTTATATACGTGCATTTACATGTAATAGGTGATAACTGAAAGTAGCTTTACAAACATAAATTTATCCCAAAAAATTTTTTTCAAAGGTAATAATGAAAGCTATTAAATTTCTTCGTCAAATTTTACACAAGTCTATGGCATTACAACCGGTCAAAATCACATGCAATGCTAGAAGTTGCATCCAGGTTGAATTTCCATTGACCAACACAAGCAAAAGTCTATATAAAATCAAATCCTCAGCCCAAAACTCCACTTCCTTCTTACTTTCTTTCAATAAAAGATTTCACAGTTTCCATCCATCTAATAAACTCGGTTTTCTCTTTGTTCTTCACGTACGCGTGCACAAAAGCAGCAAGTTCATCATTTATGCCCCTCTCTTCCAAGAATTCAAGAATTGCATCATCTAGTTGATCATCCAAATCCCTGAAAAGACCACCAAAAAAATCCAAAACAAAAAAAGAAAAAGAAATCAATAGTTAAAATGTAGGAGAAAGCAGATACTTCCAACAAAATCAAGTCATAATATTTTGTTCAACCGGGTTCTTGAACTTAAAATTTTAGCTTGTTTTTAGTTCCTCCAACTCCCAAGCAACAGAAGGAGCATTAACAAAAACTATCGTACTTGCATTCAGGGCCACCGTAAGGCTTATCTAGGACATTGTCGCATTTTCGGATGGAAAGCTTCTCAACCTCTAGGCCATCCGACCAAGCTGAACACAAAAATTCCAACACATTATCACTTCCTTCCTTGGAGATGTTGACAATCAGGGTAATGTGAAGATTCACATCTCCTTCTGCAGCATCCACAGCACCGGAATCTGGACCAGGGAGAGCTCCATCAGGCATTGTCGCTTCGATTTTTATGTCTTCCTTATCTCCGAATTTCCTAGTCAAGCTAATCCATTTTTCTCCAGGCCGATCATCAACTGAAAACGACTCAAATTTTGTAACTGGCTGTAACAGAAGGAAATATTAATATTACAACTTACACCCCGAAAATGCCAAAATTCTTTACACCACTAGAGTAAAACTTGGCTAAAAATATAGTCTTGCCATCATTTCTTTACAGACATATCCTTCTAACTGGCTGTAACAGAAGGAAATATTAATATTACAACTTACACCCCGCAAATGCCAAAATTCTTTACACCACTAGAGTAAAACTTGGCTAAAAATATATTCTTGCCATCATTTCTTTACAGACATATCCTTCTATTTCTTAGTTTACAAAGCAGTTAAGCAACAAAACCCAGCATAACATCAAATTAAAAATAGTGAATTCACATTTTATTTTTTTTGTGATTTCGAGAAAAGATAAACAAACAGCTTGGTTGAAATTTCTCGTCTTTTTTTCTGTCAGAGAGAGTATGAATAATCAAATCAACACAAGGATCGGCTCCAAGCAAGAATAGAGAAGTGAGTGAGTTGGCAATAATACCTGGTTGAGAGGAGAGCGGTCGAGTTCGTAACGGATCTCATTGCGAAGAAGCCTGAGGAGGTTTCCCTCGAAAGTGGATCTTCGCATTTCCGAAATGTAAGTTCTTGGGGATTGCGCTGATGAGAATTTAGGGTTTAACAGAGAGATTCGTGGTCTTTGTTGTTCTTCAAGTTGTGAAGCAAGAATTTTGGAAGAAGAAGATGATGATGATGACAGAGAAAGAAGGGGCTTTCTCAAAGGTCGAATTAACGGAGCCATTGAGGAAGCTTGAGAGAAACTGAATTGGGATTTTCGTCTTGGGAAGAGATTGAAGATTTTCCAGCAAAAAAATGCCGGTCTTCTCTTCTCTGTCTGGGGTTTAGGGACTTTTAGGGTTTAAGGTCTAAAAGTAAAAAAACCAAAGCTACTGGGTCCTAAAGTGAAAGTAGAAGAACCGTATATCCTTGAAAAATAAACGACAGTCGTTTAGAGAAAAAAGGGGAGATTTAGCGTTCAATCTAACGCCGTCGTTTTCTGTTCAGCAACGACTTCTTGCACGTGTTCAGCAAACGACAGTCGTTGTCGTTTACAGTTTGTTGTTACAAATAACTTTTCAAATCTTGTTGCCCAAAAGTCAGGAAACGACATTCCTTAACAGACATAAAGATTTTTTTTTCCCTTCAAGGTGAATAAACGGTATGCCGTTTTCATGACATCTAATCTGATTAAAGAAATATATCGTTTTGACAAGTAAACAATAGCGGCACTCTCCATATTTATGTCGTTTTAACTGAAAAAATGACCGTCGATTCCATTTTTATTTTTCATGTTTTTCAAAAAAAAAATAATAATAATATTTTTAAAACAACGTTTGGCGCAATAAAAACGAAAAATAAAAATAAAAATAATTTTTTAATTTAGTATAAAATGAGAGAGAAATGAAAATTGACTTTTAATAGTTTTTCATTTTTTATTTTTATTTTCTCCTCTCTCGAGCAGAGAGAAAGAGAGAGACATTAATTGGTTATTTTATACTGAAAACAATCTATTGATAAAACTTCTAAACGTATTTTTAAAAATGATTTATGTCTGAGATTGAAAACGTTTTTATTTTCATTTTCATATAAAAAAACAAAATTATTTTGAAGCGAGTTCCAAACGCACCCGACATTTCCTTTTTCGTGTAAAATTTGTTGCCATTATCCAAAATTCCAAACAAATGAAATATTTTTTACACCCCTTAAACTTTAATCTTAACAAATCTCCCTTAATTCTAAAAGTGTTGTACTCTAAAACAAAAAACATTGTAGAGTGCCCTCAAAAACAGCAATAAAATTTAAACGGAACTTGATTGGCAGAAAAAAAAAAAAAAAAAAAAAAAAAAAAAAAAAAAAATTGAAAATTTCAAATAATGATTAGAGCGCATCATGTCACTGCAACATTTATAAGGGAAAATAACGGTTTGCTCCCCCCCCTTTTTTTTTTTTTTTTTTTGACATAAATTGCTCTCGCTTACATTTTACGTTCGCATTTTGCATCTAAATGTGAACGTAAAGCTACGCGTCGCTTTTACCTCAAGTTGCTGTCGTTTCTCAGTGACATGAGGTACAAACTACAACATCAATACGCTTTCAGAAAAAAAAAAACAAGTGAAGCGGAGAACAAAAGTAGAATGAGATATCAGGAAGAAAAAAGATGCCAGAATAAATAGAACAAATCGTCACTTCACCCTTATGAGTTATAACTACTTGTTAAGGAGCAAAAAAATTAAAATAAAAATAAAAAAATCCTAAATCTAAACTAAACAGGAATTAAAATAAAAAATAAAAAATAAAAACACACACACACACACACACACGTGTTGTCTTACTCACATCGTATAAATTTATAAATACATCCCAACTTAACCACTTAATAGGATTTGGAATGTGAAAACTATGTTTTAAAGCCATTCAAATGTTTGTTCTTTCAACCAAAAAAAAAAAGCCATATCTCTGTTTAATTTTGTAGGAGGCTAGTAACAAATGAGCCCAACTAATCTGAATTTTTCAGGCTATGGTTATGCTCTCCTCAAATTTGAGTAGAAACAGGCCGTGACCAAAAAAACGTTAGCTCCCTTAGTTCTTTTGGAAAACTAGAAATAACTCTTTGTAATCACACTCATGAGTGACGAGCTCAACCAACATTTACTTGTAGACTCTTTAAACATTTCTGCTTAGAAAGCCTCACAAAATTCTATACATCCTTACATTCCAATGGACATGCTCGGGGCAGATTCTTACCTAGGCAATTGTCACACAACAAATTCTTCTTCCAAGATGTTTCACTGAACTAGACCGAGGAAAGATGACCGCCAAAAATTATTTCTTTCATGTTACGCAAAGATAGATACAAACAGAAAAAGAATGTCAAATGAAGAAGCTTAATTTTCACCTTTTATCATCTTGTGAGATACCTCCCCTTTGGTTGCTGTCTTTCTGACCCTGTGCGGATTTCTGTCCACTGAGACGGTCTTTCTCTTTGGATTCATTTGATTCGGATCTACTGTCCCTGCTGCTTGTCTCGGCAGCGAGATGTTTTTTCTCGTTACCATTTTGTTGTTCTTTCACCACTCCAGTACTTGATTGCTTCTTTGACTCGATCACAATTTCTTTCAGAGTTTCCTCTAGTTTCTCTAGTCTTGTTTTCACCTCCAAAAGCTCAGGAACAGATTCTGCTTCCTTTTCTTGGGTAGCTTTTAATTCCAGCTCTTTCGCTTTCTCTTCTTCTTCTTCTTTCTTCTTTTTCTGCTCCAATTCCTGAGAAGGTGATTTGATGAAGAGAAAAACATCAAACAGGGATGCCCTTAAAAAGGGTGGGAAGGAACGAGAAACTTCTTTCGGCTACTAGCAAGCATGAATAGAAACATCCAACTGTATGATCTCATTTAACATGAACTTTCACCACAAAAACTGAATGCTTAAGAATGGAAAAATTATGAAACACGCACGCAAAAACATTATAAAAATGAAAATGAAAGAAGATATTTCTGGTGTATCAGTTGACTACATTAGAAAATCCAAGGGTAATTGTGGCATGTCTGATGTGTCAATTGATTTTAGGTTAACTTAAAAAGGTATATTGAAGATCTACTATAACTGATATGGATAATGAAACTAGAAATACAGAGTCTCATCAAGTTCGAACTGCCTTTTTCGACCAATATGAATGAAAACAAAGGCGTATAGAACATACACGCAAAGGCAGTTTGTGCCTATCTAGCATTACAAAGCTGCATTCACAAAAATACCATACAAAGGATCGGCAAAGATTAAAGAAAGTTTGATCACCTCTTCCATCTTTCTCATCTCATATCGAGCATATTGAGCTACCAAATATACAGCTGTTACACATGAAATAGGTTCCTTCAGATAGTAGCACAAAACCAACAGACAAGTCAATTACACAAAAGATGATTTTCCATAATGATTTTTTTTTTTTTTTTTTAAAGATGATTTCTGTTTAAGCTGGTAAAATGTTATACCGAAGGAAGGCATCAAGGCAAAGAAGAGTTGTACCAGGTGGAAATCGATCCTGATGATCAAGAACAGCAGAGAAGAACATGTCAAACAACTAAGTAAATGCCAAGAAAGAAAATAAGTATTCAAGATAAAAAAACTGGATCAAAACAAAAGTAGACTTAAATCGATAGAACAAATGAATGGACGATATCATGCTTTCTCCTCAGCCCACTTCAACTAAGAAACCATCAAGTTAGCTACATAAAGTTAGTCCTATGTAAACAACAGTCTGTAATCTCATTGTAGGATTGGATTCACAATTTCTTTTTGTTATATCTAGTTTATTAAATCTTAACCTTAAAAGAGATTGGCCCTTTTCTCCAACTTCTCACGCAGTTATAAATTACTAAGCCGATTACCTACTCTCAGCATAAGTTTCGAACACCTATCAGCATGCGCAAAACTTGTTCGACGAAATGCCGGAGAGAACAAACACACAATCAAAAGCCCACGACATTTGCAACGAAACAAGCAACAGAAAATGCAAAACATAAATCGAATGAGCAGAGATTTGCGTGCTTTGAAATACCCAAATTTCCTCTTCTTGGGAGGATGAGTGAAGAGGATTTTGGCGGCAGCCGTGAAGTCGAGATTGTCAAGCTGCCGATACGTCTCGTCGTACTTGGTCAAACTGGACTCAGCCTTTTCGCTGCCATTGCCATTGTTGGTTGAGCTTGAGCCGGTGGCGGTGGGCTTACCGGAAAACGACCTCGTTTTAAATCGGTTCAAGGCTCGAAACCAGCTCTCTCTGGCGCGAAACATTTGCTTTGATTTGTTGGGTCTTTTTCGGGCCTAACAGTTTGTGCAGCAAACGACAAACGACAAGAGAGGTGCCCTTTTGAAAAAGACGAAGAAAATAATGTTGGATATGGACTGGACGTGGCTTTTGACGTAGACGTTTGGTTGATGAATTCAGAATCATTTTTAATTTATGTGTATTTTTTATAAAAAAAATATTATTATGAGTCTCGAATTATGACATAAATTTTCGTACTAAACACGTTGACTTAGTTATATTTTTGGATGGAAACGTTTGGGTAAAAAGGTTCAAGTGGTTTGAATCAAGAAGTTGTTTCAAGAATATTGGCAAAATTTTTTGAGACTTGAATTTGATGTTTTGAACTAAAAAAGTTTAAGAATTCGTTTAAAAGATATGCTTAAATTATGATTTGAGTTTTTTGGGCAAAACTATACGAGAGTGGAAATTTTAGAATTCAAAATTTTTTTGTGAGAAAAAAAACATTATAACATAATGATAATTTAAGTTTGAGTATAGCTTTCAAACAACTCATTAATAACTTGAGTTTAAGCCCCCGTGTTTTCTTTGTTTTGAATTAAGTTCAAATCATGTAATCAAACTTTTCATTTGAAACAATAAAAGTTTAAACCACCATATTTTGAACTTATTTATCAAACGAACTATTAAGCTCGACTCCTATAAAAATCAATCGAGATTATTTCACACTACTTGTTAAATGTTTGTTAATCCTTAATGGACTAAAGTGATACTTTCTATTTCTCGTATAAGATAAGATATTTTTAGTACGTAGGGAGGTCTTACAGTGGCGGATTTAAGTATAGCTCAATGGAACCTACTGCCCCCAATTAAATATTTTTTGAAAAAAATATTACCTTTAAAAAATTTAAAATTTTACACTTAAACTCCCACTAAAATAATATATGCCTCCATTAAAATAAATATATTTTTTTATATACCCACATTAAAATAATTTATTAAAAAAATTTAATGTACGCCCCACTGAAGTGAAAGACTGATTCCAGGTTGTATGATCAAATTTTAGAGAAGTTGCTTCCCGTGACCAAAATTTTAGGGAAGCTATGGTTGTTCATCGTCTTCATACCTTTTATTCACACACACACACACACACAAATATACACACACACACACACACACACACACACACTTTTGGTGCAATTGTTATTACCGCAATACAACTTATGTAGTTGTCTCCTACCTCTTAGTATTGTCATTATATAACAAATTAACAATAACTTTGAAAAAGGTATAAGTTATAACAACCGCAATTTAGATTTACAAGAAAAAGTACATGATTTATCATGAATTTATGAAAATTTATTATTTTTATGATTTTAAATAATTGACTGCCATCGTGGCCTTTTATTTTTGTCTTTATTAATTTAATAATAATTATTTATTTTGAGTGTAGTGATATAAATAATATTTTTTATTATTATAAGAGGTATTTTTTTATTTTTTTTAAAAAATTTATTATTATTGCACTTGTTTAAAGTCATTATTTCACAAGTGGTTGCAGGCATCTACTAACTGTAACAGTTACACACCCGATTCCATCACAAGGTGTAAAATCTAAGTCCCTATATTTATTATTTTTGTTTTGTTTTGTTTTTTTTAAAAAGTCATTATTTCATAAAATGAATGTTTCCATAGACTTCAATTCTTGCATCGAATGTAATGTGCGTGAATACTCTCTTGCTTGTCAATATTCGTATTGCAAGCGTAAAACTGAAGGACTCTACAAAGGGCCTATGTTCAACTACCAGAAATGTGATGAAACGTATGGTCAGATGTGAGTGATGCTATAGGTATGCAAAATACGTTTCATAGCAATTTTCTACAGTTTATATGTCGTCGTATTGTTAATTATATATTATCAATCTAAAGGAGACGTGTATTTTATCTTCGTGAAAAAAGGCTGCCCAAGTTTGAATTTTGAAAAACAAGTCAATAATTTTCTACCCCATCCTAATATCGAAAAACTCCTCAAAGTCAAGTCACAAGCCAGTACAGTTTGAACCGTTTTAAATATGTATTAAAAGATGGAACCAAATCTGCAACCTCTACTCCAATACCACTAAACCATATTACCGTCTTAGGCATCTGGATATTGTTTTACATTTACGTTCTTACAGTTTTGGTCAATGATCTCAAAAATAACTGCTCTCATGATTTTCCCTTTTGAATTCTCAAATGATTATCCCATCAAAACTGTCATTTTTTTTCCTTCTAACCATATCCGATAATTCAAGCAATAAAATCATTGTGCTATACCGTTTGACAAATTTGAACACACGCATAGTTAAGTCACATACACGAGTGTTATGTATATAGACATAATTAAGCCTCGTTCATTTCACCGATTCGAGTTTAAAATTTGAGTTTTGTTACAGTAAAAAGCTTTCATAAACAGTCACATCTAACTTTTTTACTACAGTAAAAGCTTTCACATAAAGTCACATCCCAATTCAAATTAATGAACTAAACAGACCCTTAATTTACATATAGATATAATTAGTTTACATATATCTACTCTATCTCCTAAAAGTGAGAATGGATTTTCAGAGGTTTCGTTGCTCCTGTTTAGTTACTCTTCTACCTTTTTCATTTCACTTTCTTAGCTTTATTTATTTATTTTTATTTTTTTAGTTTTTCTTTTTCTCTTCATTTTTTCCTTTTTTTTATTTAATCTTTTAATCTTTAATTTTTATATATTCTCAAATATATCTCATTTAAAAAATTTTCTTACAGTTATTTGAAATATTATTTTTTAATTTCCCTGTTAAATTAATTTATTTTCAAATGTGTTCATACTCTTTACATGAACTTACTTGTGATCCTCATAAAATTCAGCTTCAATTGCGAAACATTTTACACAAATTTTTTTCTTAATTTTTTTTTGTTTTTTTTCTATCTTTTATTTCAGATTTTTTCTCACTTTTTGCCTTTATTTCTTTTATCTTTTTTTTTCTCTTTTTATCCGACGATTTATATAATTATAGTTTTAAACGAGTCACACCCATGAAACCCGCATTTTTTACTGATATCTATTAAAAAATCCTAAAAAAGTCTCACTTTTTGCCCTTATTTCTTTTATCTTTTTTTTTTCTCTTTTTATCTGACAATTTATATAATTATAGTTTTAAACGAGTCACACGCATGAAATGAAACCGCATATTTTACTAATATCTATTAAAAAGTCCTAAAAAAGTTGATAAGAGACATATTTCCAACCTCAACGTGTATAATGAAAATCGATCCTTGAATGTTAGGTAAGAGATTCCAGTACTTTTTTTTTTACGTACTTTCTCTTCTTTAGTTATTGTTTGCATAAAATAAAAAAATAAAAAATAAAAAAAATAAAAAACTTTGGCTCGAATTTTGAATATAAAAGCTTTTTTAGATCACGAATAAATATATATTGTAATCATTATGAAAATTTCAACAAATTGAAACATAAATTGTAATTATAAATGTTGTAAGCTAGCAATTTGACCCTAAATTCTACTTTTTTCATATTCTCTTCCTTTCTTCATCTCTCTTGTAGATTCTTCTCTCCGACGACCTTTTTTTCTTTTCTAATTTGTAGTTTTAACAGCTTCATAATGCATACAGATATTGATACTTTTAAATCTCATTCTACATTAGTAGTAATGAATTTGGCTACTCAGATCTTAATCTTGCTATTTAGATTGGAGAAACTAACGTGATTTTTTTTGTCACTCATTTTATTATTTTTTATATTTATTGTTTGACATGTGTACTTTATTATCTTATTTTTTATTTAAATAATAATTATTTTATGTTAGTGAAGTTTAAGTGTCAAAAAATTAATGTAAAAAGTGAAAAAAAAAGTGATAGTAAGAGTCACGCTAGTATTTCTCTTTTAAGTTATTTTTTGTGTCGTTTTTGTATGGTTTTATGTTAAATGTATAATTTCTAGTAGATACGAACAATTTTAGGCATACAAACATTGACATCAAATTTATTATTGCGCTAATAAAAAAGTTTTATACTTCAAACGAAGGAGATTTTAAAAGAATTGAAGATTTTTTTTTACTAGAGCATTAAAGCTTAATTTCTATCTTTACAGAGCTTGTGCAATAAAAAACTCATCTATATTTTTCGGTAAAAGCAATGACTTGTATAAGAATGCGCATCGGGTGGAATGAGATCGGGTATCCTTCCACCACCCTACCTCTGTTTTCACCTTTGCATCATATACCTGCCCTTATAACTCCGAAGTCATAGTCAGGGTCGGAAATTCCCATCCAGCAAGCTTTTCTTATACTTACCCATTTACCTAATAACAAAAGATATTGTGACCAATTAAATATAAAATTGATCAACATAACACTAATATCTTTTCTTATACTTACCCATTTACTTAATAAAAAAAAATATTGTGACCAATTAAATATAAAATTGATCAACATAACACTAATATCTTTTAAATTTATAAATTATTAAGGTATTTTAAGATAGTAAAATAGTAAAATACTTTTAATTTTTTTTAAGTACATAATTTTTAAGTACTAGTATAATATATAGCATATATTTGTATTAAAAATATTTTTTAAAATATATATGTATATCGGGGTAGGGGTGGGGCGGGGGTACTTCATCTTCCCCACCCCCCGCTTTCGATTCGGGGATAATATAAATTCTATATCCGCCTCCATCCCTGTTTAAGAACCCTTATATCTGTTCTATTCAAAGGGGTACCCACATTTACGAGTAAAATGCTCATCTTTAAACTTGTATCTTTTGTTTAATATAAGAGACTATATCGATATTGGTATCTTCATGGAATTTATACTTATATTAATATTTTAGTTGAATAAAATGTTATATTTATTCTAGAAAAAATTATAAATATTACGAAAATAGATAGATCTATATTTAAACAATTAATTATAAACAAAAAAATCATAACTATCGGTTTCTGACTATTAAATCTGGTGAAAATCAAATCATATTTAAAAAGTATGCAATAAAAATAATTTATGATGTACCGGAAGCTTAATTAACGAAAAAAATGAAACAATAAAATAAAGTGGTAAATAAGTTAGTATGTTGATTCACACAATATACCTGAGAAACTATTTCAAAAACCGTTGATTCACACAGAATACCAGAATTTAAGATAAAATTGAGAGAAAACTCAAAATTTTATTCAACTAAACTAGTTTTTATTACAAAAGGACGTCTAAATGTATAGGTAAAATGAAAATTGAAAACTAGCCTATTATGAAATAAAAATAATAAAAATATGAAATTTTCTAAAGAAGGAAAATTTTGAACTGGAAAGAAGAATTAAAACTACCCGACATAAAAAAAAAAAAAAAAGAAACGCAATTAAAATTGAAATTCGAATTTCTTAGGTTAAACTTATTACAAAAATGGAAATTATTAAAAATGAAAAAAAAATTGCTATTTTGAAGGCCTAAACGATGAAATTTCCCTGAAAAACATCTCACATCGTGGCAAAACGACGAGTTTTGTTCGTTGAGCCGCTTCCCCCTAAAAACACATTTTTTTGTTTAAATCTAACATTGCCAAAGGACTCCATGAAAACTGAAAAAAATATCTTATTTGGTTTTGAGATGTTTCTAACGCGTCATACAAATAAGATTTTTTTGCACCGCATCAATCTAACAACAATAATTAGAGACTTTTAGGTAGTTCAATTTGTAAGGACCTACTAGAGAAACTCTCATGAAAGAATATAAAAGATAAACTTGAATCAACGAATTGAATGATACCTTAAACTCTATAAGCAATAAATCAACTCTTTCAAAACAACTTAATTTACAATGTAGGTTTTCATTCATTTAAAATATTTTAGATCTAGCCCTCAAAAATTATAAAATTACTTTAGTGGATATTTGGTTCATTAATTTAAAATTATAATTCATAATTATTTTTAATTTATGTATATTTTTTATAAAAAAAAATACTATAATAAACCACGAACCACGATCCGAACCTTACTTCAACCCTTCTCTCGCTCTCGCCCTCAATAATTATTGATATGAGTTTAGAAAGAAAGAGAAAAGAAAATTGAAATTTGCATGTGTTACCCAGTCTATGCACAGTTGTTAGTGTAGCCTGCAAAGGTTGCAAAGGCTATTACAAGACATGATTATGACCTCCTCTAAACACGACAATCCATCCTCTATAATCTTTAAATCCATTTCTTCGATAATTCAATGCCCATTTCACTCTTGGGTCAACATCAGCCAATAACCATTCAACAAGAAGATTAGGAATTTGGGATAAATAAATGCAATAAATAATTATGAGCTTTCATTAGTTTTTAATAGTATAATAATAGATACACTTCTTATCTGGGCTGGGCCCCCTTCCTCTTCCTATGCATCCGAAACCTCATATTTATTTGGATTTATGACTCAAAAAGAAAAAATTCACAAAAATAATAAATCCCACTAATTACAGGTCATAATAAAATATGACACGCATCCACTATGTACCATAATTGCGTACGTTACTTTCTCCCAAAAAAAAAAATTTTCAAAAATTCAAACAAGGAATGAAATGAAACCCAGCTCACAGAATCGGGGGTGTAACTAATCTCAATCATTACTGTAATTCCAACTAAATCCAAGCCCTTTTTTTTTTTTTTTTTTCAAAAAACCCAGATTTTATTATTCTTATAGATAGGATTATATATCCATCAACACCCAAACTATACTCCGAAAAAGGAAAAAGAAAAATAGACAGTGCAGCACCACTTCCAGTACTTGCCCGCCGGTGGAACCCATTAGCAGAAGATTCTCATTCCTTTTCCTATATATACATATATATAAAATTTTATAAACACACAAGTCTCTTTTTCTTTCTTTCTTTGTTTTTTTGCCCGATTTTTATTAATCTTCTTGTGTAATGGGAAAACCACTGTGGAGCTGAAAAGGACTGGTGGTTTTTTTTTTTTTTTTTTGAAAGAGAGAGAGAATGTTTTGCAGAAAATCTTGCAGCAATGAGGAAACGGGATCTGTGCCAGTGTACCTCAATGTTTATGATCTGACACCCATTAATGGCTACGCCTACTGGCTTGGTCTCGGAGTTTACCATTCTGGGGTACAAGGTTTGTACTTTCTTCATATAATTTTCTTGTTTGGGATTTTTTTTAATGGTTCTCTAAATCCTTGGATGGTGCAATCTAGATCTGAATTTGAATTCGAATTTGATTGATTAATCATCGGAAAACAGTTTTGCAATACATTTTCTTTGTTGGGTCTTTTTGTTTTTGGGAAATTCTGGCTTCACTCGAACAGAATAGAGTCCAGATTTAGTGAAAAGTGAGAATCTGAAAAGGTTTCTTTTTTTTTTCGTTTTCTTTTTTTGATTGTTTGTTTGATGAGAATGTGCAAAACAAAAGAGCAAATCTTGGGTTTCAGAATTCAATATTTGAACTCTCTAGTCTCTTCTGTTTCCCAATTCCAATCAAATCTAAACTTTGATTATTTACTTTCAAAAGAATTCTGATAAAAATGTATTGCTTGCAGTTCATGGAATTGAGTACGCATTTGGAGCACATGAGCATTCGACGACTGGGATCTTCGAAGGAGAGCCCAAACAGTGTGATGGGTTCACATTCAGAAAAACAATTTTGATTGGGAAAACGGATATGGGACCTGCACAAGTAAGAGCAGCCATGGAAGAGCTTGCAGAGGATTACAAAGGAAATGCCTACAACTTGATCACCAAAAACTGCAACCATTTCTGCAATGAGGCTTGCATTAGATTGACTGGAAATCCAATCCCAAGTTGGGTTAATCGCCTTGCAAGACTCGGTAACATATGATTCTTAATCTTACCAGTGTTTTCCTAGTTACATGATTATTATTCCACTTTGACCTTTTTAGTTTAGACCAATTGAGTAGTTAGTTCAACTAATTAGTTAAAAAAAATTTGAAATGATAGTAGACATTATTATTTTTGTTTTCTTTTGGGTTGTATTATTAAAAATTAGTGAAAAGGAATAAAAGGGAGAAGAGAACACATAATAAACAATATTAACGTGATTCAGCGTTGCTAAGGAAAAGAGAGAGAATTCACTAGTAATAAACACCATATAAATACATAAAAATTACCTAATTGAGAATGTTATTCAGGACTATGAGATATCTTAACATGTTTGGTTCATGCGTTTAAATCAGTAATATTAATTTTAGCATTTGAAATTTAAATTTCTTATAAAAGAAAAACACCGTAACAGAATCAAAATTATGAGTTTAAACACATGAAGCAAACAAGCTCTAACTTTTTGTATGTGCATTAAAGATAAATTATGTAATATTGCAGGATTCATGTGCAACTGTGTTCTTCCTGTGACTTTAAACTCAACTAAAGTTCGACATCATAGGATTGAAGACAATAATAACAAGCCTTTGGAAGGAGAGAAGAAGAATCTGACAAGTAGTGAGTCAAATGGTCTGCCTTGTTCAAACTCTTCCTCTTCAGCCTCTTCTTCTCCTTCTACCGCTACAACTCGCAGAGGTAGAAGCAGAACCAGGCGGCCTCTTCCGCCATCTTCTCCTTTGATTGTTGGCTCTTCAGCATCTTAAAGCCATGTTTTCCATTTTTCCAAAATGCTCATAAAAATGAAACACAAAAGCAAAAGAACAAGAAATTCATAGTCTAAGTTCTTATTTTATTTTGTTTCTTCTGTGGTGTTATAGTGGCTAACATCATATTGAGCAAAGCATGCAGCACATACCTGCACATGGGTATGCTTTCATTTTTTTAGCAAGTGATGATGTGTTTGAAACTCGTTTCAAAATGATTTTGTTTTTTGTATGAAAATAAAAATGAAAACGTTTTCAATCTCAGACAAAAATTATTTTAAAAATGCGATTAGTAGGTTTATCAAAAGATTATTTTCAGTATAAAAAAATCTATTAATATCTCTCTTTCTCTACTCAAGAGAGGAGAAAATAAAAATAAAAAAATAAAAAATAACTAAAAGTCGTTTTTCATTTCTGTCACATTTTACACTAAATTACAAAACCATTTTTATTTCTGTTTTTTATTTTTAATTATACCAAATGTCGTTTATCTCCTGTTTTCATTTTTTCTTTCTCGAAAAACATTAAAAAAAAAAAAAAAAAAAAAAGAACTTCAAACACAGTTGATATGTTTCTGCAAAGGTTACCTCATTTTATTGGATTTTCATTTTTGTTTCTCTTGTACCCCGCGCAGATGGAAGTTTTGAATTTTTCTTGGATAAAAGTTGAGATTGGATGTTGACAAGCTTGTATTTTTTTTCTTCCTTTTTCTCTTCTATTGAAAATTATGTGATCACAAAGTGGGACAATAATGCGACAGAACAGAATAGTCATACGAGAGGGAAAAGGAGATTCAGAAGTGATATCAATGTTGTTGTGGTTCAAATGTGTTTGCTAAAGCCCCAAGGCACGGTGAAGACAGTGAAAACTGTGTTTTCTTTTTTTCTTCAAGATGAAGTAAATATGTTCAAGCCTGTCCTTGTAACTTTGTACTTTAGCGGGGGAAATTTGGACGAGGAAAGTGCTATGTTGAAATGATCAATCCCCTGAATATATGCTCTTAAGTCTCGGCTTTAAGTATTCCATCTTCTTTTGGGGAAAAAAGTCGTTATGGAACGTTTGTACTTTAGCATTTTATCAAGTTGGTTCAAAAAAACAATATCACCCGAATATCTCATACCTCTATTTTGGAAGATGAAATTATGATTTTGCCCCATTTGTTCAAAATATTATTTTTCAAGTAAAAGGGTTGTCTTTCAAAGTTGTATTTTTTTTTTTTTTCAATTTCAGGCCTTTTATTTTTGAGGAGTTTTTCCCATAAGATCTCTTTATTAGTAAGACCTAATTTCTGACTATTAAATATAATTAAAATCACATATAACTGAAAAAATATGTAGAATATATAATTTTTAATACAAATTTGACGGCTGAAAACATAAAACTATTGACAATTTGTTTTTTCTTAGTCCACCAGAGAAGCATCTTTTTTTTTTTTTTTTTTAAGCTTTTAGATTGAAATGATAAAATTGTGATTTGTCTCATAGAAAGGACCGAGAACCGTGAGTAATTTTTCTTAAAAACAACAAGAGACCTCAATAGCCAAAGGGGCCAGAGGACATAAAATTCACTATCATATTCTTTTTCGAGTAGCAAAAAAAAAAAAAAAGCACGAGACCTCTATAGAATTTTCCGAACACAAGGGACCTATCTTAATAAAGTCGAATACTAAATGGTATGCATTTTCCCTATGTTCTTCATTGGATTAAAAAATTGTATTGTACCAAAAAATTTAAATAAATAAAAAAGGTCCACTAGTCGTCAATCATGGACCTACTCGACAAGAAAGGAAAAATGCATCATTTAACATATTTCACACCTATATTTAAAATAAATAGCATAATTTCTTAATGATAGAAAACTATAGCATATTCTTACTTCACTTTTTACATAGAAATTTTTATTTCCAATTTTATCCTTTTCGGACCTAATCCCAAACACTAAACCCTAATATAAAATTTCCTCTCTCTCTTCAGCTGTTTCTTCACCCCTTTCTCTCTATTGGACAACCCATAGCTGTTGAAAATGATGTCTTTAAAGTATGAGATATAATAAGGATATTTTATTATTTGATTAATAAAATAGTTTATTCATTATTTATGTGCATGTATTATTGAATACTTTATGAATATCATTAAAAATTTCACGATTATTTATATAACTTTAAATATTGTATATACGTGTTATATACGAGAAGATAATATTTAAGGATAATGATCGAAACGATGTTCGTAATGAATTTAATTAAAGTTTTAGAATCTTTAATTAAAACATTACTAATACATGTCATTCTCATTAAGAATGAAATGGTATTATCTGCATCATTAATATAGAGGGATATTGAATAAGTATATTATGCATAGTGAGATTATGTAGAATTGGGACACTGACACAATTTGATTTTCTGATAATTTCTGTTAAATATAGAAAATCAAAATTTTAGTCTATCGATGGTCATATATAGAATGATCTTAATCCTGAGTTGTTAGGAGACTCCTATTTGTAGATTCGTGTTTTTTTACTTACTCAGTACGGATTTTGAGATCCTAAATCCTATTCTTTGTATTTTAGAAACATGATGAAATGGATAGCCGGGAATGCTAATATATAAGATGGAATCCATTCCTTCTTCTTTGAAGTATCAGATAAATAATTTTCTTGAGGGTTGATTCGGTACTTGAATAAGTAACGTGCTCGTATTCATGAATATGGTTTATGAATATATTATTCATTATAGAATTAATAGTACTCAATGATAAAGATGTAATTAGAGAGGTTAGGGGATTTTACGAAGCTCTAATTATGAATTATTTATGAATGATCAATCTATATGTAGTGATATATCAAATGGGCACTTCAAGTTCTTATAAGTAAATTATGTCTATAATTTTGAGAGTGCAATTCTAAGTTTTTAGTGGAGTAACTTTTTAGAATTAATAGATTAATTAATTAATTATTAATTTATTGGAGCTTGGAATTATAGGTTCATGAGTCCTAGCGTCATCATTATATTATTTGCAAGATAAGATGAATTATCAAGATTTTATTTCACTCGCGAATAGTTAATTTCGAGCTGGCTTGTAACTGTTGGATGATTTTGGCTAACTTGGTTGATTTCTTGAGACAATTCTTTGTGTAGTGTCCTTTTTCTCCGCAGTTGAAGCATCGGTCTGACTTAGGGCTGTCTCGTCTCTTTCTTCTAAAGAAACGAAACTTTTTTCCTTCTTTTCTGTCAGACTTTTTTGGCCTTCGAGACCACAGCTCATAGAGATGTTCAACCCTCTCCCATGGTGGAGGAAAGAAGTCTCAAGACTTCTTCAAAAATACAGTATCTGGACCTCTCCAGCAAACATCCCTCGGGTACACACTGTATTCCTCCTACATCGTCCATATCTGCTCAACTCGCAAACACAAGGGCTATACACACAACATGAAGTGTACGCCTGGCATACTAGCTTTAATTATCCACAGTCACTTAAGGACATCACAGATGACCTCGTCAAGGTACTGTGTAGAGAAAATGGTCACCAGCCAAAGCTTCCTCTAATTATTTTATCACACACTGTGGTGGGACCATAGGGGGCGTGTGATACAGGGAAAAATCTCACTGGGATTTAGTTGCTTGCTCTCCAAGTAATCTGATTTACTTGTTTGATAAGTTTTCTAAATTCAAAAAAGAAAGTAAAGTGTTACTTTATTTAGAATTGAATTTGAACTAAAATTGAAAACCGAATTAAAGAGGAATTTTTTTTCTCTCTCTTACATTGTGTTGCGGGCCCCTTAGTAAATGAGAAGGAAAGTTTGTTTTCAAAATTAAAAGGGAAATTGCATTTTTAATGAGATTAAAAATATAATAACTACTAATTTCCTATTATTTTGTCTACATGTAAAAGAGTTCTCCTTATGCTCTATAAATAAGAGATAATAGGAATTGGAGAAGATGATTTTGACCTCCTAATTCCTTAAGTTGGCCGAAATTTAGAGAAAGAAAAAGAAAAAGAAAAATTCTATCAATTTTCTCAATTCTTTCACATACATGCGTTAATAGTGAAAGAATACTAAATTATTAAGTAATCTGATAATTATACATTGAGCAGATACTCATCGTCTTGTGAATTTCAAAGAGTAAACGAAAAAGACTTTGATATTCTAAAAAAACTTTGGAATAAGAATCGTTCGTTAGTCAAAAACCTCAAAATATCGTCATAATCATTGGCAAGATATTTATTATCACAAATTAATAAAATTAATTTATTATTACATAAATTAAAATAATTTATAGCTTATTTAAAAAGTTTTACAAAAATTTATTATTATACACAACTCACGCTACCACGTTTTTGCACTCGAAAACGTTTCGAAAACCAACAATAACCTTCTCTCTATTTCATCTCAACGAGATTGCTGAATCTCTAGTTCGTTGTTCAAGGACGACGATGACGGAGATCGCCATGATCTCCGGCGACGCACGACCTTGTCACCACTGGAGTTGTCGCGAGTTCGAGCAGCGACAGCGGCGGAGATCGCTTTGATCTCCGTGATCTTTGACGGAGATTGTAGATCGAGGTCGTCATCTCACAGAACGAGGCATCGTGCCGTCATTGCAAAGCTCGGATATGCTTTGTCTCCATCGGAATCAGACCGAAGCTTCTCCGGCGTCGGATCTGCTCTCCTTTCCCCTCCTGAAGCCTAGTCTATAGTCTCATCCGCCGTCCGAAGCTCGGATATCACAAATGGAGGATGACGCCGATCTAGTTCAGCCACTCCGGTCACCTTCATCGCGGAAATCGTCACCATCAGATCCTTTCTCTCTCCGATCTTTGATGGAAGCGTTCCTTTTCGGTGATTTTGGTTTTGTCTGGGTTTGTGAAAACTGAACATCATTTTTGCCGAGTTTTGTTGAGTGGTTTGTTGATTTGGTTGTGTCGATTGTTTCCCGGAGGATTCAAACTATGTGATTTGAATCATTTTTGATTTACGTAAATTTTTTATGAGAAAAAATACTGTAGCGAACCATGAATCATGATTCGAATCGGGAACGAATCCCTCTACCAAACATAATTATTCTTTTGAAAACTAAACATATGTAATTTTCAAATATAAACATATTACTGTAGACATACCACACTTTCAGGAACCCCAGGTGGTGGCAGCGAGAGATTTTTTGGTGGAGGTCCACGTAAATATGATCTCTTGTCAAATCTCCACTCACCAATTTTACCATATGTCAATTCACCCTGCATAAGAAGCAGCCTTAGATGCAGGTACTAATTTTGAATTACAGAGAGGTAATCATTTTTCGAAATTTAGAAAGCACTCAGCTCTCTCAATATTTTAAAAATAATGATAGTAAATGAATTATAGATGGGAATCATTTTTCAAAATTTAGAGAGCGAATTTAAAGAAAAAAATTAAAAAACAGGATCACATCACTATAATACAAAAGGAATATAGAAAGCCATAACTGGAATAGCAACTTATCATAAGCTAATGATAGAAAGTAGGAAAGATATTATTTTACCTTTAAGTTGTAGTCACATCCATAAGTAAAATGAATTATGAACTTCTTACCAATGTCCAAATCCCACGGGGGCTGAAAATTTAACAAGAAAAGAATTCATTAGAAAAGCTTCTGTGTAAACATGCGACAAAATTTGTCCCATTTCTTCTCATAAATGGAAAGAAAGGTAAACCAAATTATAATAAAAGAGCTTCACTAGGTTACATATCAAACCTGAAGCATAAAGTCCCTCCGGAGAATATGCTGCACCCCATGTAAAGCAGATGCCACAGCATAGGCATACCTTTGTTCAACAAAAATGGATCAATAAATATACCACTACCAGCTAGATTTGAGAAAATGGTAAACTATGCAATCCCTTTGTTTTCCTGTGCTTACATTTCTAGCACCCATCCGAAAACTTTGTCGGCCTCAGGGTCGTCTTTCATTCTCAAAGAAACATTCATCCAGGTAGGAGCAATCTTTTCCAGCAAGTCCTGACTTAATGAATCCGCATGTTAGACTCTTCTTTTTTTTCTCAAGCACATGTAAATGACGAAAATAACTGTAAAAACAGTTGTGGTAGAGATGGTCAAAACAACAATGAAAAAGGTAAAGTAGGGGAAAAGAAGGAGAATCTCCATGCCGAAAAAAATAAAAAAAATCCTTTCTATCTCATACCTCCAGAAGTTTTGTTTCCAAAGACAAAATACAATGTCCATTACCAGAGCAAGATCAAGCCATAAGTTAAACAAGCAATTCCAATATTGTTACCTTCCTGATAATGACAGGGGAATTGCCAATTGGATCAATATTTGTCACCGGGCCATTTTCCTCGGGATAAAACTTCCTCAAGATCTTTTCATGCTGAGCAGGCGTAATGTAGAAAAATGGGAAACCAGCAGGATAATCTCCATGTGCCAAATTAGGGAGAGGCCTCACAAATACATGATCAGGCTCTGCCATCAATATGTATCTGCAGCAATAGAGCGAGGAAATGGTTTAGATACATAGTTAAGGTATGTCTCAAACAATTCAAAACCATCAACCAAGAAAAAACTCACTCTTCTTCAATTGTAGCCTTCTCTAGCCACTGAACGAAAGCCCATGGTCTGTTTAACACAATATACCCCTGTACAGAGGTTACAATCAGCCCAACAAAGTCTAAAGAGAATATAATAAATTAGATACGTGCACACTGATAATGACAACAAAACGTATATGGCTACAAGAGTTAAATATGAGGAAAAAGAAGGAAAAACGGCCTCTAAATGGTCCTTTTCTTTTTTGGAAAGGAAAACAAAACTGTTGGTACTGGTTTGAGTCTTTTAACACTTTATAAGACAATATGAATAATGCGGAAATATAAAATAAAAGAACACTAGAACAAAGAACAAAGAAAAAGTACCTATGAGGCACCACTCTTATAATATGTATATAATAGTATAATTATGTATGCATGTACGTATGACTATGAGGCACCAGTCATAAATATGGGCGAAAAAGGGACAAAAATCATAGTTCAATTTTCAGATTATAAATAAGAGGAATAGCTAGCGAAAAGACAACGCAGAGCACAGGCATGTTCAGTATCTTGAGAACTAGTTTAGGATCTATGGAAGAAAAGAAACAAGAGTAAGCGAAGACCAGAGGTTATACTTGAACTTGACAAGTGAACTTGAAATATTAGAGTGCTGTTCTTGCCTGTAAGGTAATCAAAGCATAAACTTTTGGTTCTTCATATTTTATTTTATATGCTGATCGGAA